ACCTCTGCTTCAAGTATGGAAAGTCAGACTGTCTCAGAAGTTTGGAACAAGCCTGAGAGCAATGAGATCAAAGAAATTGTGCTGAAGACGGCAAATGTTGGAGAAGCAGTGAGAATGGCAGCTGGAGAAACTGAAGACACATATGAGAACGTCTTCATTCAACTTCAAAAGAAAGATGCTAAGGAAGAGGCTGGAATTACCAAAATCATCGCCCTTGGAGGAGAACCTACTACTCTATCCAAGAGGGCCTCTGAAGAAGCCTATGCCAGTTTGGAATCAGCACTTCAAAGTACCGAAACCTTTGAACTGGACGCATCCATCGTCTTTGTGGATCGCAACACTGCAGATACTCCTATACTAAGCTGTGGATGCTCAACAGAAGCATCCACATCAGGTGTATTCAATTTAAGTCGTCTTGGCGATGCTCAGACAGTAAAAGAGGTGAAGGAGGCGGCAAATCATGGCCCAGGTGTTAGATTAGACATGCTAGAATCAACCCTTGAGTCTGAAAGCGCTACGATAGTATTCGAACGTGATCAAAGTACAGCGCTCATTTCAGAAACGATCCAGGTGCCGAGAGAGGGCGGCAAATTCCTGCTTTCTACTGGTTCAGCCAAGGAGGAAACGGTTATGGTGGAGGTGGATTGGACGAAGCAACGCGAAGATGTCTTGGAGGCATCGTGGAAGAAGATTTTGCGCAATGAGGAGGGACCTATGGAATTGTTCGCTTCGGCAACGGAGGAGACAGCTGCGGGTATGAGTTGTCAACTACAGAAAAGTGCTGACACCTATACTATCACGACGAAGAAAAATGCTGCAAGGTTAGGTGAGCCAGCCTCCAAATCCATTCTGGAATCCACAAGCATAGAGGAAATCAGCAATCTCCAATTCCATAAGGATGAACATCACCATGAGATTGAGAACATCGTCAAACTTGCTGCCTATGGTGGTATGGCTGACCTTAAGACTGGTTATGCGGAGGAAAATCATACCGCCATCACCCCACAGTTGGCCAAAGCTGAATCA